TGTTTTACAATAGCATTTACCTTATCTAAATTTGTTTATGGGTACACAATTTCAGGAATCGGTCAAGAATTTGGGACACCCTGTTGGTCCTTGTAAAAGTTGGTATAGTATTCTTACAGCACTAACTGTTTATGTAGAACAAGGACAAATAGATAGAAAACTTATGGATATGCAGTGTTGTAGATAAAACTGCGTATGGTTGACTCTATTTCAATAATTCAAACCAGTTTAATTTTGAAAATGTGAAAGGAAGTAAAAGTTGATTTATTCTTTCGCAGTTACACTACAATAATAAAAATTATTTAAAAATTAAATTACATTAAATAGGGATAAATTACAAATAAAGTAGTAATCTAACTATATTACTAACGATTCAATGAAAGGGAAGTTATTTATTTATTAATTTCAAATTTCATTTATATGTACTGACAATTCCAAACGTCTTTTCGCTTTAAAATACAGTATGTTGTATAAATTCGCTATAAGGAAACTCAAGTTTCCTCTCTCATTACTCACTGTTCATGAAAGCTTCACTGTTTAGTTGTTGCGCCACTGATGTTCATTTTAATGAGAGTTTAGTTTGTTGCACACAATAACGACATTCAAATTGTTCGTTAATATCCTAATTATTTTTCCCCATGTTCGGAAGCCCCTTTATTTACTTACACTGATCGTGAATCATCACATAACAATACGTTTAATTGAACAATCACAGGTTACATGCAAAAATTTCATAAAAGAAACAATAGATTCTGTAAACATCATCAAGCTTTCAGTTTTCAACCCGAATTCAAAAATTTTAATTAAAATTAATTTTATTTAAAGTAGACATATATGTTTCGACAAAATAAAGCTTTACAGGTTTTTAGGGTTCCGTATGTCCGAATGAAAACCGGAACCCTCATAGAATAACTAGTGTTTCTGTCTGTCCGTCTGTCACAGTCAATTTGTTCTGAATCTACTGTACCGATTAAGTTGAAATTTAGTAAAAATATGAATTTTCTGTGACCCTAACCCGGATGCATAACGTAAATAGATTAATTTTGAGCAGGGTTCATTTTTGGAGGCCAATAGAAAAAAAAAAGTTTTGCAAATGAAAGGTCTTGTTATAAGGGTCTCAAAAATATATAATACAATGTTGGTTCTCGGTTTAGGGTTCTTTACGTCCGAATGAAAAACAGAACGATGTTCTTTGGTTAAAATCCAATTAATTTGAAGGCTTTGTTTTTGAAGTTAAACTAATTTAATCATTGAATTGCGGGAGATTATTATACAATACGATTCATTTAATGCTATAAAAAGAAGTAAGGAAACAATAAACCTGTGGTGCAGTAAAATAACCGTGAGAAGAATCACTGGTGTAGAAATACCATTATCGCAATGAAGTTTAAAATAAAATGGCTTGTTGCACAATAAAAAAACCAATTCTTTAACGGTAAAGAAAAGTTCAGATCTTAATTTTGTGATAAATGATGACATTTTTATAGATAAACTATTTGAACATCTTTTTTAGTCGGACTTGGGAATAAATACGTAGGTACATCTATTATATGGAATAATTTAATTATTGTTGAACTCCTATATTCTTTCAGATAATAAACAGACTTGTTAAAACACATTTATTACTAAAATTTCACTTTAATAACGAAACTTTCACAGTTCGATTAAACAAAATTATATTACAATTACGTGAACTATTGTCCTTGACAGTGACTCAATAAGCGTTCCGTTAAGAACTGACTCACGACAGTACTGTGACTCACTTTAACAGGTATCTGTACAACTTCCAAAAAAAAATAAACTGACGTGAGATAGCGTAATAATAATACGGAAATATCAAATAATTTTAACATTTGATACCTACTATTTTACGTAATAAAATAATTTAGTAACTACCGCAGTTCGCTAGTTAGGTTTACTCAAAAATCATTTTTATTAGTGTTGCTCTTACCATATTCTATTAATTTATGAGCTAGTCTGTATTTTTTATAAGGCTATTTTTAAATAATTTCACATTCCTTAGAAAATATCGATTAAATTTTAATTCAAAACCACAAAACCTTTCCCATTAAAAGTCGTATAAAATACTGCATAATCTCTACAAACTGTCTCGTTCTGAGGTATTTTTACATGTATGTGTATATTCCTCATACTTATGTTCTTGTATATGTATGTGGGTACATAAAAGACATCATATTTTATCATAATCTGTTCGGCTGTGCAATAAACACAATATTTTATGTTTCTAATTTGCGAAGGTATTTAAAAGCGTGGAAGAAAGTTAAAATAAAGTGATTTCGACATCATCAAATTGCAGAAATAATGGAAAGCATTATTTGTAAACTACGAAGTACTATTACCTGGACAGAAGTTTGCATTAATTGCAAGTGAAACTATAAAACCACCTGATGATAATATAAAGAATAGAGGAAAAAATAATGAGCATGTAGGATGGTGGTAATAATAATTAAGGATTTTTCTTCGATATATTTACCACAGTTTAAGTAGGTTCAAGTAAGGACAACCGCTTCCCACAGTTTTGTATCTTTTTATTTTATAATTGCGAAAGTGTTGTAACCATCTTTTTACGTAACTTAATTACCTACAGCCTCAGGATTAAATAGCCCAACTTTTCCATCGACTTATTCTTAAAAAAGAAATAGAATATTTATAATTTTCGAAAAAAAAAATCAATTAAACGTAACAAAATATAGAAAACATTTGATGAATTTTTATCCCAAAACTTTAGGTAGATAAATCACAATCACCAGGTACTTAATTTTAATACAAAATTGATAGTGCTTTGCTTTATAACAAATAAAACTACTGTATCTACACTACAGGTATCGATTAATTTTACGCTTTGTCTATTATTTTATTTTGATGTAGTCTGTGGCAACAAAATCGTGAACGCACAGCTGGTAATTTTTTAGCTTTCAATAAATGAATTTTCATTTGTAATTTTATATGTGTCTATAAGTAACGTACTTCTACGATTTAAGTAACGTTACTTATAATTAGCTTTTGCAATATTACAGTTAGTTTAACTTTTTTGAGAAAATGCCATTGTTGATTACCTTTTTGCATTACTGTACATTAAAACCTTCTACACAGGGTGTTTCTAAAAATAAGTAGCAAACTTTCGAGGGAAAATTGTAAGTAAAGCAGCGTGGTTAAGGGACAAAACAATTTGTAAGAAAATTAAACGAAGTTGCAATCCGAAACCGGCCCTGGACGTGAATTGACAACACATAGAGAAATTGCGATAAAAACTAAACACCTGAATCGATGAAAAATGTAAAGAGTGACGGCTGTGTATCAACAGCTTACTACTGATAATCATAATAATCTTTAGACGTTCATTACGACAACAATTAATTGAATAATTACTTTGTTCATCGTTGATAGTATGCAGTACTATTTAAATAATACCTCGACAAGTATTAAGAACACAAAAGCACTACCAGGGCCGGATTGACCCTTGACTGTTTTTCTTGAAAACGGTAGACTTTCGGACTATTAACCATTAGTAAAGAAATTTTATGGATATGCTATGTAATAATTTTGAAAATTCTACAACTTGGAAGAAAGAGTAATGTTGCTCAAGAAAAGTTGTTGTAAATTTATTAATGATTTGTAGAAAGTAAGATACATAGTCGATCGTAATTTATCAATCTTTATCAAGGTTTATCGTATCACAAAAATTGATCGCTATATTATCAGAACAAATGTTATTTAGATAGTATAATCTAATATTTGACACATTGTTCAAATTCAACGTAAATTTTTGTTATAAATGCAGTTTCGAAGGCGTAAGAGGGACAACTGAACTGATCAATAACTAACCACATATGATTAAGTAACTTACTTTGTGTGCTCTTTTCTTTCCTTTCTATGTCGTTTTTGAGAAATGAGAAACTTTTAACACTCATTCACAATTTGTACATACCACTAACGATAAGTTTCGTACTATCACTAATTGTTTTATTTATTCCTTTACTTTTCGATTACGTACAAGTTACACTGGTTACGGAATGAGAAAACAGCGATATCATTAAACCTCGATTTAAAACTAGAACTGTAAAGACAGCTAATTTTTGTATCAGTTGTTCAGGTGCAACTTTCGCAAATGTACACAGTATAAGAGCAAAGCAGTTTCTGCGGCCTTGTATGTTTAAACAAGCGATTTCTTTTCATGCCACTCAACGCATACTTTTTATTAACAACAATACGATGTTGCAAATGTTTCAAAACAAACGTGTAGGCTTGTTTAGATTTGTTGTCGAAGCGCCCATGTGCATATCTTAAGTCTTGTCATTAAATCAAAAATAAATTCTACGAATTCGACCGAAAAACAAAAATCTTTAGTGGGAAGTCACTCACCTAGACGCTGATTTCTGTTTTAATTCCCTTCTCCATCTCGCACGGCGTCCACCCACATCATTTTAATACACGATTTTGAATTTCACATAAGCGCTTGTCGGAAAATCTAGACTTTCATTATGGCATTTCGATTTTGACAACTCCTACACCCGCACGGAATAACATTTTGCTTGATAGCGTGATATTAAGTCGCGAAAACCTTTATTGACGCAGATTTCTGTTACAAGTAGCACTCGCAGAAAGCTGCAAATTTTTCTTGAAGATGTGAAAATTACACGACACAAAAATAGAACACGCATATCTATTTTTTCCGTTTATTTCATTACATAAATGAATAAAAAAGCACATAAACGATTTTAAAGAACGTATTCGCTCATGCACGTTAGCAGTTTTCTATTCGAATCTTATTGATTCCCAGGGAAATAGAAGGAAAAGTGAGAAATGAAAAGTTTTTCCCGTAAACCACCAATAGAGGTCTTGAATTTCCTTGATTTTGAATTTGGAGAATGTTAAGCATTCAAAAAATAAGTAACGTAAGCAGTATAAACTCTAAAGTATAACTAAAATCAAGTTACATGATAATTCTTCTGTTTTGTATAAATAATAAAAATCTTCAACAGTTACACTCAAGTTACAGTTACAATCAAAAAATTGGATGCTAATTAAAAACAATTCATTCACGCATATATCAGTTCATTTTCTCATGACAATTCCTGTCAGATTTTCTCGTTGAATATTTTTTTGTAATGAATTTATTGACGTAGTTTATTATATAAAAACCTAGTCGATGTTCGGAAAAAATGTTTGGAAATCCTGATTTCGAACAACGTGAAAAGGAAGAAGCATGGAGAAACCGAATAATATATACACCACCGGTCCATGTAGGACAATGGTTCGAAGAAGTGAACAAAATGCGGGAAGAATTGAAAACGATTCAATTTAAACGGGACCGTTGCGATCTTTTAGTTCAGAAAACGAGAGCCATGTACAAAAATGTACTACGTCCAATGCGTATAGCAAAAGACGCACCAACAATCGAATTCGGTAAAAATTATCTCCTCAAATCCCCCGATATTCCAGCTAGAACAGTTATTGGGCAAAACGGTCAACCAAAACTGAAATGTGGCGTATACTTAGCTGCAATAATAGACGAAAAAATAATTGATACAGCGCAACAATTTATAAAGGGATGTCTTCTAACAGCATGTTTGGAGCGATTGCCTTGTGTAAGGAACACATTCACCTTCGAAGGGTGCGATGGTCAAGAAGAGGGTAAAAGAATCCATTACGGAGAAGATTTTTACATTCGCATTGCTGGATCCGATGGTCTTTACGTTCAGTGTGAAAATTCAACTATGAACGATTTTAACGAGCATCTTAGTGTACGTCTAACCGACTGTCCGAATGGTTATTCAAGATTTAACATATTAAACGTCGACAAGGATCTTAGAGTCGAAACATGGGGCTATGACGCTCCTCCAAATGCAAAGATTATAATTCAACATACTGCTTCAGGTAGGAACTTAGCTGTGGAGAAAACCAAACTTATACCCACATTCTATGGCCCTGAATATAAAGTTTCTTGTCACAATTTTGTAAGTATACAAACGAAGACTGAAACGGTTGAGAACTATTGGAAGGTGTGGACAGAACAAAAAATTGACATGAACGCAATTGTCAGGGCAGCTAAAGGGGAAGAAGTTGACGATGAGTTGCTACCGGACTGAAAATAGTTGTTTTCATGACTTTTTTAAATTTGCATGTTTCTTGTCTCAATAAAAATAGCGAACAACCAGTCTAAGAGTCTAAACATTAAACAAAACAATACATTTTCGTTAGGGGACAGATAGCGGACTAGGGCTAAAAGGAAATTTTTGGATCAACCCCTTGTAAATTATCTATTAAAATTCATTTAACCAATTCGAAAATTTAATAAACTGAAAATAACAAAAAAGATTTTGACCATTAAGAAATACTAAAACATCTTAAACACTAACGAAAAGCACATCACAAATTTTTTTCGTAGCTGTGAATACAGATATTTTAGAATGACTTTTTATCTTAGGAACGAAATCAAACACACTCTAAACTGTTAGAATCCCTTTTTAACCCATTTACTAATTTTTCAAATTATTTTAAGATAAATTGTTACTCATTGCAATTCTTCAGATTAAAACAAAAAAAATAAAATTTGAAAATGCAGCAAGTGTGAGGGTTAATATACAAATACGTCTACTGTCATAGAACAGTGCATTTCTCCTCGTATTTTTTTTATGTTATCTTTTTGAATAATTTTTCGTATAATGTTAAAGTTTTTATCTCTCCATGATATATTAATTTAGTCAATAGCGTTACTTTTTCAATTAAGGTATTTAATATCAAGCTATTAAAATTTCACATAAGTAGATAACGATTACCAAAATGGCTTCTCCTACTAACACTGAGAAGGGGACGGGCAAACGGGCTGCACATGCGCGAATAACGTGATGCTGTACAATTATGTTTCAATGAGAGAGATTGTGGGAATCAGATACTTATAAATAAAACAATTCTTTAACTTTTCGTCAACGTGTATTGTAAGCATATTTCAACCACAGACTTTGTTGTTTACTTTGTATAAATATTTTATGTAATATTACAACAAATTAGATTTTGAAGTAAATGCAATCTCATTTACAATAATGACATGAACATATACAAGTTATGGTAAATATCATATCACTCAAGTTTTTTCATATATTACAATTTCATATTCATAATCTATAACTAAATCTTCAGCAATATATTATCTGATCCAAATTTCTTCCATCGATTTTTCCGTTATATATTTTTCGGGTAATACTTTCAACGATTTCAGTGTTTCAGTATAAAACACAATTTCAGACGTCACAACTCCATGCTGGGGGCCACCATTGTTCTCTATATTCATTTTTATAAGCTGCTCTCTTAATCTCACTTTGAAATTCTTATGAATCACTTCGTATATGTCAGCAATCTTAAAAAAAAAGACAGTAAGCTAAACAGATTATTTAAATAAAAAAAAATTGAAATGGGTAGTTGATGGTTAAGAAAAAAAATATATAACGTGTACAAAATAAAGGTAAGAAAGAAAGAAGTAATGACCTGTTAAAGTGGTCAATTTATTGGTATGTAAGGATATACTTTAGAATGTTTATTCCAAATATAAATTATTATTTTCAAAAATGAAAAACAGAATAATAAATGAATTATAATATTAGTAACCTGCTCTTCTGGTAAAACGGACTTCAATGCGTCGTGTAATTTATTTAGATGCCGTGATACGTTCCTAAAAGCTTTTGAGGGAACTGGCGGTTTGGCATCCCAATCATTTAATTGATCATTTAATAATTGGTTCATTAACGATAAAATTTTTGATTCCAGTTGTTGTATGTGATGTCCAATGTCTTTCTCAACCCCATCCAAAGCAATGAAGGAATCGCGAACGAGAGAACTGAATTGTGCACGAATATGAGGTATCAACCAGAGAACTAACTGCAAAGCACGAGACGTGAGTGCCAAATTAGTGCTCGTAATGGTATTTAGTCCGGCAGTTTTTATTGCACCTGCACCAAGCACTAATTGGCAGCATCTAGAATTAAACGTCCTTAAAAGTTCTGCTAGATTTCTTCCTATCACAGTAGCTAAAATGGGTAAGTCATATGCACAAACACAATACTCTACTATGAGTCGAATGAGAATTAGAACTGTACCCACGGTTACATATTCTTGTGTTCCAATTAATAAGGAATTAGCCGTTTTAGTACATTCAGTACCGTATTCTGAGACAATACTTGAATTTGTATCTCTATCAGGAGAACTGGGCAGAGATTGTAAAGGTCTTCCCGAACTAATATTGTCTACTAAAATTTGAAATTCTGGAGGCACATCGGCAACTTTCCAACGCTCGGCATCTAAGATAAGCATTAACTTCTGTTTTCGTTGAGAATGGAATTTTTGTACATAGCTAGCCGCCTGCTTTTTAAATTCAGCTTTCAAAGCATGACTAGATTTCCCACAAACAGATTCACATAAATTTGAAAAATTTTCAACTACAGTAGATAAATTAGTAATTTCAAAGGCAGTTATTGTTTGCTTGTCTGAATGAGTACTGACAAGGGAAGCAAGTCTTTCACTGCAATAATCACAAACAGAAATAAGTAAATTTTTTAATTTGGCTATAATAAGGGAATGTTCATTCTTAGTTAAAAATCGATCATTAATTGTTACTGCTTCTTCAGAACCATTTAGTCCTGCAGATGAATCTGTTGTTTGTTTGATAACATCATGAACTGCTTTCACTCTGCCTATTAGTTTATTGAGTGCATTACTGATGAGATTTAATGCCTTTAACCACTGTGAAGAGTCTAGTGATGGTGGAGCTTCACCTGACCCGGTCAAACAATGTTCTACATCATCTTCAACATCAGCCAACTGTTCAATTACCAGTTGTTTGACGATAGCTTGGGCAGCTGTAATTGCTTCTTGTTTATATACTTCTAAAAATTGCAGATGACTCTGACGAAGCAATCCTGCTGTTAAACTAATTAGTCTCTCTGACTCCAATACCTTAAACACAAGTTTAATTTACAATTAAGTTAATTACATTGCTTAAAAAAATATATAACAAACATGAACAAAGAAATTACCCCAGCTACATCATCCAGTGGTCTATTTAAGTCAGCAGCTGCATATCTCTCAAATTCTGTAGATAACATTTTATCAATTAGCCGAGACATTTCCTTTAATTGGGAAGGTAAATGTCGCAAACAGGTAACCCCTGCTAGTTCCTTTGATAAAACTTCCTGGGTGCTTGCAATCAACTCTAATGCTCCTACATAATCTGATGAACTCAACAAAAGCTGTAAGGTTGGTTGAGTTTGCAAAACAGTAGCCATAAGCTTTAATTTATCCAAAAGGGAGTTGTAGTTATTTCGAGATCTTACAAGTCCCAACATTCCCAAAGAATCTCTTGCAAGAGTTTTATCAATTCCGTAAATTTTAGAACGCAATAAACGCACCTGCTCACATGCAGAACCCATCTCTTCCATAATTGTATCATGTGAAGTCATTGCATGAAAAAATGCATCTGATTTTTGAGAAACTTGTTTTGCAATTAGTTCTTCAACATAATCTAAATAATGACTCAGTTTTTCTTGAAGTGCATATTCTGATGCCTTGCTAGGGTTAATATTGTTCTTCCAAATATCTCCAAATACATTGTTAAACATTTCAGAACTATTCAGCGGAAAAGTTTGGTCAAAAAAATAGCCAGGTATTTTACTAAGAACATTGTCATTTTGGGAACTATCATTTTTAGACTTTGATTTCACATCAAGTTTATTCTGAGATAATCTCACATGACGTCGATATCTTCGGGAATACTTTCTTAGAAAACTTTCAAAGTGGGCATACCCCACTTCTGGTAAAAATGGGCTTTTTCCAGGATTAGCAGATTCTACAAAGTTATCACCCCATGTTCTAGTAAAAAAATTTGATTGTTTACCTTTATTAGGATCATTTAAAACCGCAGGAAGGTTTTGCGAGGCCGAAAACATCGACCATTGTTCAACAGCTGGAGTCATTTTGGACATTTAGAAAAACTATATTTGCTACCTCGACATAGTTTTCTGTGTTGCTACGAAATTTAGCTCAAAATTAGTTAAAAAACTTTGTTAATCACATTATGAAAATTATAGGTTGGATTGTAAAGATACAAACGTCAACTGATTAGTTGTCATGTACCATAGAACTGTTGTTTATTTTTCAAGATGAATACATATAACATAGACACATCTACATATAATTATGGGATTATGCTAATTGTAAAGCAGATTAAAACATGAACTTATTTGATTTAGTTAAGATATTTAAACAACCACAATCAATAATAAACATGTTGCTACTTTGTAAAGTTAGAAATAGTTTATTTTTTAGGAGCGACATGTTTTATCCATCTCTCTGATTTATTTTGAACTTCTTACATCGAAAGTATTAATTAGCGGGAATAATCATGTATTTGAATTTAAAAAATACTTTATTCGAATTGGATAAAATCCAAACAACTTATTATAAGCTAATTCTTCAATTAATCTGTCTTATTCATTATATTTTACAATTAATTAACTACAGCGTTTATATATATATTTCTTATAATTTTGTTAACCAATCTGAGAAAATAAAATAAATAATATGCATTGCAAAATAAAATAAGGAAGATCTCAACGATCATTTATTAACAAATAAAAGAATAAAATTCATTACAATACATAATTTATGGCTGTTGTAAGAGCACGAGCGGCTTTACTTAATACTTAACTTTACATGGTTCCATAATTATTTTTAATTTGCCTTGCAAGATGACAGGAGAAGAGAATTCCAATAAACTGTTGAAAGAATTAAATTTTATTATTATTGTCATTATAAAATTATTGTGAAAAAAGTATATTTATATTACCTGCATAAATCCAATTCCTAGGCCAATTCCACCTAAAGTAAGTGCATGATCTCTGATGTAGGATCCAAATGCAGAAGCGCATCCTTCATTATAAATTGTTGCACTTTCTATATCACAAGTTGCATTTCCAAGTTCACCAATAACTTTACCACAACATGACATTGGTATTCGACCACCTGTAGAACTTTTATTGCTTTGCCAGTCTGATGGACCATTTACACCGCAACATTTAAACTGTAAAAGTGTTGATTAATTGATAAGTTTTAAAATGGATTTAAAAACACGTTAATGTGCTTGATACTTACAGCACCTTGCATATCATCCCAAAGGTTAGTAATTTCGTTATAAACAGTTGCATTATATTTAGATAAAGAGTCCGTCAATCTGTTTGTAAGAAAATCGGCTGTCTGATTTCTCAAAACATAGCCACTTATTCCAGCAGAAAATTCCAAAATGAAAATTAGGATTAATAAGAAAGTGAACTAAAAAAATTAAGTATACTAAACTACAGTTCTTTTTTGTGTTTATAAGCATGCTTACTGTCTGGGTCATACAGTAATTTTCTTTAACTGCTCCACAGCAGCCAAAGAATGCTATAAGGAATATTATCACACCTGTTGCAATTAAAAGATTGGGAGTAGAAAAATATTTATCGTTCAAAAATGATTCATAATCCTGATACTCAGCTTTTACTGTAACACCCACTGATATAAGAATAATTCCAGTAATCTAAAACAATAAATGAAAATTAAAATAATCAGAATAGTTATCACTTGTTTAACGCTTTCGCGGTCATAAGTGCTCTGCTAGAGCTCTTAGCATTGAAGTATTATGGTTTCTGGAAATTTAACTAATTAATTGAATATTATTCAAAATATTCATTATAGAATATTATATTTAAGGCCACCACAAAGCCACAGGTTTCTTATAATGTTAATTTTTTTTACAACATATGGACATAAATTTCAAAATGCGTTTCATTTACCTAAATAGATAGTAAAGTTGCTGATAAGACACTTATATTAATTTCCATGAACAAGTTATCTTGTAAAAAGATTATTTGTGTAAATAAAAGTCAATGAAAAACACTATTAACGTTAACGTTTTGTCAGAAATAAAAGGTAGTACACGTTTCATAAAAAAAAAATATTTAAAAGTTCCATGGGTGAGCATCTAGGTATCCTATCACTTCTTAATTTCAACTTACACGTGTTCGAATAAAAAAATAAAGTGAAAGTGATATTATCAGAAATGTTGTATTAATGGAAATAAAGGACATAAATTTCTTAAGAAATTGTACATATCAGAAACATGATATCACATAACTATAATATTAAATAAAAATCAAACATACCACAAATAGTAGATTAAATACAAAAAGAATGTATTTAATACAAACAGTTGTCCATCCGAAAGTCATGACTACGTATAATATATAAAAACACAGCAAGTTAATCACAGAAGAATACTATAAAAAATATTTCTTTTACTATTAATAAAAAATACACAACTTAGCACGCAGAACACATGGATACATCTGTCACTCACTTGTNTCGCTTCGTAAATAAGTCATTATTTCTCATAAAAAGTAAAGGATAAAAATGGTTATTGTGGGTTATCCCTCAGAGATACACATATACCATCCCGGACTTTTTTGTAGACCCTTTTAAGATGTACAATATTGTAGTACATTATTTTGATCTATCTCGTAGGGCTCAGCCAGCGTTTACAATGTAAGTGCAAAAAATGTGTTATACATATAAACCTTCCTCTAGAATCACTCTATCTTTTAAAAAAAACCGCATCAAAATCCGTTGCGTAGTTTTAAAGATTTAAGCATACATAGGGACAGACAACGAGAAAGCGACTTTGTTTTATAATATGCAGTGATGTTACTTTAGATTTGATAAGAAAGGAGTAGGTAGTATATGTGCATATTCAACAAAAAAGTTTATTACTATTATTCGTTTGTATTTTAAAAGGATTAATTTCTGCTGTTGATATTATTGAATAGTTTTGGACACTTAAATAACGATTAGCGTTGACATTGACCGAGAATTGTATCATTCACGCCCACCAAGCTCGAACTGTTCGAAAAACAAGTTGAGCTTTTCAGCAGCATTATAATAAAATCTGATATAGGTACTAATGTCAGCATTACCAATATCAACATACATATATAAAAAAAATATTAAGAGTACATTATGTTGATACGATGTAAAGCGTTCTCGTGTAATCTACTTGAAACCTACTCCTTTGTTTGTAATTAATTCGTCAAACAGATAACAGCATTTAATAGGTAAATTAATTATTGTGGGAGTTTATAAGCTACCTAATGAAAAATGTGGTAATTACGGGGCTAGTTCGCGTTTCCTTTTTTGTATAACAACAGTGACTCATGGCCGATTACGTGTCTCTGTACCACTATGTTAAAAATGTGAATATTATTTTTTTGCAATTGCTTTTACTTGTTTTCCAATTGCTTCAAGCAGATAAATTAATTAATTAATTGATGAAATAGTAAGTGCATTTATACGTAAATTGAGGGTAGAATATCAAGTACTTACATAATTTAATTGTAAGTGTAATGCACTTCAATAACTTCATACTACTTCTACAATTTTTTTTAAACCTAATTTTCGTTTTAAAATATAATTCATCTCCTTAAAACAACAGATTTTTTGAAGCAGTTTTAGTTCAAAAAATTTAAAGTAACACTTTTACATTATCTTCATTCAAAAGTTTGAATAGTTTAAGAAGTTCTTCATTCTTTTTAACTTCTTTACAAAACAATTTCTTTCGAAGAGTAACATTCATTTTATCTTCGTTTTATTAGAAACTTTGTCCTCGTGAAATTTGGGTAGAAATTTTTCTTATCTTGTTTATAATAAATACAAATGTTATAATCAATTTCAAAATGTTGCGTGGATCACCCATCATCGTCCTCTTCATGTCTGTAAAGTCCCATCGAAAGATGATTACTACCTATATATGTTTTAAATTTAAACAGGAAGTACATAAATTTTTTTTTTCGAAATTAGCTGAATTTTAATTACTTATATATGTACCCATAATGTTTTAAAAGTGTGTACTCAGAAAGTTTGCTTTGTCTAATAATGAATTATTTAATCGTCAATATAGGTACTATTAAGCCTTTCAATTTTCTCAATTTGTTGATGTCAAACTAATTGCTTTAATTCTTATGTCTCAGAGTAATAAACGAGTTATTGGGTCAATGTGTTGTAAGCATCTTTAAATGTTCGTGACTTTTTAACCTTTGAATAAATTCGCTAAATTGTGACAAATTCAAAATTGTCCCGCACAATAATTACTGAAATAGTTTCACAAATAAATTGAGGATAAGGAATTAGTATGATATACGATTATTGTGTAGTTTACATTTCTTCTTCGCATTTACATCTTCAGTTATGGAATCAGAGCTAAGATTAAAGTTGTAAAAGATTAATGGTTATAAAATCACAGCCATAACCATTAAATTTTTAAAACCCTTATCTTGATTCCATAATTGAATACACATTTATATTTTCATCAATTACATCTATATTGTCATAAATACTAATTGTTAGAATTAGTTCCCTTTAAATTTTACAGGAATTAAGGAATAGTATTTTTACTTTTGTACTTCTTATTATTGAATGACAATACGTACTAAAATTTTCTGAAATTTATTAGGAAAAATTACTTTTTAATCCATTTTGGCGGATATGCTTTTAAAGTGTCTTTAAGATCTTTAATTAGTTTATATACCTAGGTAGGCATCGGCATTAATGTTTTCAAAAACGTTATGAAAAAATTGTTATCTCGTGAGATTGATTCTATTGAAAAAATTATTGCTTTCATCTCCCTTTTAATACAATTTGAACGTAATGTGATGGGTGTTTTTAATTTAAATAATGTTGTAATGTTTCGTTCCAAGGATTTTTTCGCACCTTTAGTAGTAGAAAGATCAACTGGCGCCAGCGTACCTCTTTCTAACGCCCTCTGATTTCCTTGGGCATTATTAATGAGATCTTTTTTATTTACGTTGAAGGCTTCGTAGAAATAAAAAGTCACAAATTGTTCGAAAAATTACTTAAATTATTGGATACTAGTGACCCGCCCCAGCTTCGCACGGGTGCAATGCTGATACTAAATATATTTTTGTTTTGTTTAGATTATTATCGAAAAGGGGAAATCTTCAAAAGGTACCCCCTGAACATACTAAATATACTACAGAATGTCTTTATATACAACATTCACAGTTTTTTTGTCATTAGACAATACAAACCGGCCTCCCGGCCGGTACCGCCGCAACCGCTATGTCCCTGCATTTTAAATCTGTAATATCTTCGAAAATATTCATTTAAATTACATGCTGTAAAGGGCCATATTGATCTATATTAAATGCACAATGTATTTAAGGTACTTAATTGGATAAGAATTAATGCTGTATTGCCTACAATCGCTTCGTAAATAAGTCATTATTTCTCATAAAAAGTAAAGGATAAAAATGGTTATTGTGGGTTATCCCTCAGAGATACACATATACCATCCCGGACTTTTTTGTAGACCCTTTTAAGATGTACAATATTGTAGTACATTATTTTGATCTATCTCGTAGGGCTCAGCCAGCGTTTACAATGTAAGTGCAAAAAATGTGTTATACATATAAACCTTCCTCTAGAATCACTCTATCTTTTAAAAAAAACCGCATCAAAATCCGTTGCGTAGTTTTAAAGATTTAAGCATACATAGGGACAGACAACGAGAAAGCGACTTTGTTTTATAATATGCAGTGATGTTACTTTAGATTTGATAAGAAAGGAGTAGGTAGTATATGTGCATATTCAACAAAAAAGTTTATTACTATTATTCGTTTGTATTTTAAAAGGATTAATTTCTGCTGTTGATATTATTGAATAGTTTTGGACACTTAAATAACGATTAGCGTTGACATTGACCGAGAATTGTATCATTCACGCCCACCAAGCTCGAACTGTTCGAAAAACAAGTTGAGCTTTTCAGCAGCATTATAATAAAATCTGATATAGGTACTAATGTCAGCATTACCAATATCAACATACATATATAAAAAAAATATTAAGAGTACATTATGTTGATACGATGTAAAGCGTTCTCGTGTAATCTACTTGAAACCTACTCCTTTGTTTGTAATTAATTCGTCAAACAGATAACAGCATTTAATAGGTAAATTAATTATTGTGGGAGTTTATAAGCTACCTAATGAAAAATGTGGTAATTACGGGGCTAGTTCGCGTTTCCTTTTTTGTATAACAACAGTGACTCATGGCCGATTACGTGTCTCTGTACCACTATGTTAAAAATGTGAATATTATTTTTTTGCAATTGCTTTTACTTGTTTTCCAATTGCTTCAAGCAGATAAATTAATTAATTAATTGATGAAATAGTAAGTGCATTTATACGTAAATTGAGGGTAGAATATCAAGTACTTACATAATTTAATTGTAAGTGTAATGCACTTCAATAACTTCATACTACTTCTACAATTTTTTTTAAACCTAATTTTCGTTTTAAAATATAATTCATCTCCTTAAAACAACAGATTTTTTGAAGCAGTTTTAGTTCAAAAAATTTAAAGTAACACTTTTACATTATCTTCATTCAAAAGTTTGAATAGTTTAAGAAGTTCTTCATTCTTTTTAACTTCTTTACAAAACAATTTCTTTCGAAGAGTAACATTCATTTTATCTTCGTTTTATTAGAAACTTTGTCCTCGTGAAATTTGGGTAGAAATTTTTCTTATCTTGTTTATAATAAATACAAATGTTATAATCAATTTCAAAATGTTGCGTGGATCACCCATCATCGTCCTCTTCATGTCTGTAAAGTCCCATCGAAAGATGATTAGTCGTTTTTGCGATTAGCCCGCGCAGACAGACCGGCTAATATATTTCACCTTCTTTGAGTACCTGCAACCCTAATTAATCACTGTAAATAAAGCAGTAAAATGTTTTGGTATTTCATATTTTGTTTTCAATTAAAGTTTCCAAGGCAACTTGCCACAGATTATAATTTCAAGGTAATGTTATAGACTTGATGTTTTATAAAAAAATATATACATAATGCTACTATTCATTACTCTTTATGTATAATATATAATTGCTTTTAAAAGGCTGAAACGGTACGCAAATACTTCATATAAATGAAAAGTGCAGTGTCTGGGTAGGACGAGTGTGAAAATACCCGGAAAATATCCACAGAATGCACATGAATCAAACCCCGAAGAACGTTACATTAAATTCACCATTAAAAAAAAAACATAAAACCGTTACAATTCCCAACAAAAAAGTGAGAAGTTTTCGTTGTCTCACAATTAGTTTTTGTATTCTAACTCTCCTAGTCATTTAAGGTAGGATTATGCCTATGAGATGATTTTTCGGCGGGTCTAAGGGTTATTTATGGGGCTATAAACTCTTTATTATTGGATTGCTATTTTTCCCTCATTTTTAGATTATTATTTTTCAGTGGAAGTTTTTGTTGCCCCACCATAATTTTTCGTATCCTACCTCTACGACTCATTTAGGGTAGGATTATGTCTATGAGATTTTTTGTCAGCAGGTCTGGGGGTTATTTATAGGGTGCTAATCCTTTCAATATTAAATTATGTTTTTTTTTCTGTGGAAGTTTTTGTGGTCACATAATAATTTTTTGTATCTTAACTCTGCTAGTCATTTAAGGTAGGATTATTCCTATGAGAAAGTTTGTCAGCCAGTGTAAGCGTTATTTATAGGGGCTAAGTTTCTCAATATCAAACTATAACTTTTTTAAGGGAAGTTTTTCTTGTCCCACAAAAATGTTTTGTGTCCTAACTCAGTGATCTATTTATGGTAGGATTATGCCTATCAGATAATTTGTCGGCTGACTGGGGTGGCTTGTCTCCGTTGTATATTTTGGATGTGCAACCTAGATGTGTAAATTTGTTCACTTCTTTACTTTTCCTTGTGCAATTGGCCTTCTTCCATCTTCTCCCTTTCTGAAATACTAAAGGGTTTAGATCCAGGTTTATTCTTTTGTAGATATTCATTTAGGGCTACTAGTGTTTTATTCATTTCCTTCTTTGCTTTTTCCAGGATAGCTAGCTCGTCAAGAGCGTATAAGAAATGTACAACCCCGTCTTAGTCTTTTTCTCATTCTAAATTAGATGTATGTGGTTCCTATATTCACTTCCAACTTTGTCTTTCATATATCTCTTTTTTCTCAGTTTTCCTTCTAGACACTATTTTGTTTAAATTGAAAGTGAGATCCTAAATATAAATATTTAAGCGTGCGCGGGCGACAATAGGTACGAGTTTTAGTTGCTGAAGTGCATATAAATTTGCATATTGTATAAAATAAGAAGATGCGTTGTTTATGAGGGTAGTAAAGTTATATTCAACATATAATGTCTAATAATAGATACCAACAAGATAATATAATGCTTGTAGAACGTGCATTTATGAATTACGACCAAGTGATAAAATGTACATTCAGCCATATATATTTCTTTTGGAGGTAGGTACGCTACTTTAGTGTTCCTAAATCAATGACGTTGATAAGATAACATGTACAAGTAATTACGTTTCGCTATAGAGATGCTTGCGAAGGGCGTTTATAGAGTTGTCTCTCCGGTAATTTTAATTGTCAACTTACACACCTGCATAATAAACCATGTACAGCACCGTGCTCCAAACATACACCTTTAACAACCTTTTTTGAATTTCTAAATTAACCGAATTTTTACCTAATAAATTCTATTATTTCCACGTCATATTCAGTCATTGTCATAAAAATTTAGTTTTTTCCGTATATTTTTTTTTGCCATGGTTTATAAACGAAATTATTTTGATTTCGAAGTTCGAAAATTCTTATTAAAGTAGAAGTGTGGATACATATACGCTAAGATACTAATTATTTAAATACTTAAATAAAGTAGTTAGTGTCGTCGATAACTACGTTTGCAGAGTAATTGAGAGTAATTTAACGATAATCGAAACTTACATAGCACCATCAATTGTTTGCGTAGAATTTCGCTAAACACCGGTTTTTATTGAAAGCATTTCTGAAACCATCGCCACTAATTGATGAGTAAACATGTTATGTTTGCCTTACCGGTATTTTTAGCTATAAACATTGTCTACATTTATTACTTACATGTAAAATTTTCTAATTTAAATGATTCGTTCACGATCGGACGAGGCGAGTAATTGTTTAATCGATTGAAACGGTTTTGGGGAAAACCAGGGACGTAGTCAGCTTTTGTTTTTTTAATCCAAACCCAGCCTTGGGTTTCTGTTAGTAAATTATGAATATAGGAAGGAAATGTACGGAATGTCTTCAAGAGAATTCTTTCTATTAGATAAAATATGTATATGATCATTCTTATATAAAATTTCTCCTTGAATGTTATTGATAACACTACCTAACTGTTTTTAGCGTAACTGCTGTGGTTTAGGAGATATTTTCAGAAAATCTGTTCTTGACGTCTTCTGCGTAAAATGGTGCCGAACGCAGACTTTGGCGGAGGCAAAAAAAGTCAGGATTACTATTTCCAAATGTAAACCAAACGATTAATAAAGCAAATTCCAGATTTTTCGCTAAAAGACTGGCGTAATTGTAGTCATTTTTTTGTACCTTTAACTTTTGAATAGGTGTACGTACGAGGGTGCGTTTTTAATTTCGCGGAATGGGTAGGTAGGTCATTAGTAAGGGTTCTTACTCGAGTCATTACGAATTAAGCAACTCATTATTAGCGTAAATACCAAGTTTTGTCGCAATTAGGTCAGTAGTTTTTGAACTAACGTAGACGAAACAAGTGAATCGGGAACAAATTGTGAAATATGAAGAAAATCGAGTACCGCTCTGTTATAACATTCCTTGCCAAGTAAGGAAAATCAGTTCAAACCATACTGGAAGAGATGTCATCCGTTTACGGGGACTCTTGTCCAGGTAAAATAAGTGGAATACCCTCTTTAAGCAAGGTAGGGACTCACTCGAAGCCGACCCACGGTCAGGTCGGCCGATTGAGGTGACCATTCCGGAAATCATTCAAAAAGTCGAAAAATTAATAATGGAACACTGGAAGTCCGACTTAAGAAGAAACAGCTCGTAGAAATGGCAGGCGTATCAGATACAATCATTTTTAAAATTCTTCACGATCATCTTGGCATGACAGTAGTCAGCGCAAGATGGGTGTCGAGAATGCTCACTCCGCTTCAAAACAATAGCATGTGGAGTGTCTCGCGCGTTTTTGGACCTCTGTAGTGAATATAAAGATGGAGTATTGATTCGAATTGTTACTGGGGACGAAACTTGGGAAAACAGAACTCTATGCAGTGGAACAAAAAAGGAACACCACCACCCAAGAAGTTTAAGGTGTCAGAGTCGGCTGGGAAGATCGTGGCGACAGTCTTTTGGGAAGAACGGATCCTGTTGATCGATTATAAAGACAAAGATGTCTCAACCGAAGAATATAATGCTTCAATCCTAGAACGGTTAAAGGAAGTAGTCAAAGAAAAAAGAAGAGGAAAATCGACGGAAGGTGTTCTCCCTCTATACGACAACGTGCCTGTTCACAAGAGCCGTGTTGCGATGGTTGCCCTGCAGAAGGTGGCCTTCGAAATTTTGGCTCACCCACCCTACTGTCCTGACCTAGTTCCCAGCAATTATTACCATTCCCTAACTTGAGAAAAGTCTTCGTAGAAAGAAGCGACGAAGAAGTGAAGGATGCAGTTTCTGCGTATTTTTCAGACAAAAACGAAACATTTTTTTTCGAAGTTTTACGTAAGTTAATTGAAAAATCGGAAAAATATATAAGGGTAGCAGGTGAACATATTAAAAAGGAAAAATAAATTCTTACTTTTATTTCCACTTCTTACCCCCCATTCCGCGAACTTAAAAAGGTCCCCTCGTATTACATTAATACAGTGTAAACTCTTTATAATGTCACTCGATTTAACGACAAACTTCTTAAAACGTCGAAATTGCTTGACTTTGGTTGGTTTACATTGTTTTCTATACAATATTACACTCTATATAGCGTCACGCTCACTCTATTTAACGACAACAATGCGGCAATAGAAATCATTGAGCAGTACTTTCTAAGTTGCCGAAATAGATAAGAACTGCAGCTGTGTACGTTGTTGAAGAAGACGATCCTGTCCCTCCACCAAGCATCAAACAAGCACTTGATGCAGCGAAACTATTAAAAAAATACTTTTTATATAATCAAATTATCCAGCAGTATCTCAAGATATGAGTAAGATACGTAACAAAATACAATTGAAATATTGGAGCAGCAAAAAACATCTGACGAAGATAACAGGGTATAAGCAATGTATGAATAATAATGTTCGTGTGCAAAATGTGTACTATATTAGTAAATGCATATTATTATAGAATAGTAAAATAATATCTTTCATTTCTCTCTATTTAATGACCACTCTTTATAACGTAGAAAAATGTTCAGTCCTTAAGTGTCGTTATATACAGTTTACACTGTATTTCAATTGTAATGAGAAAGCGGTAGTCAGTAGGTACTATTTGATATTATGAATGAAATTATCATCGTTAGAATGGGTAATTACCTTGCAAAGCATCGTTTTTATAAACAACAGCGTCCGTCCTTTTTATTTGTATTCCATTTCCTTCTTGGAACATTAGCCGTACGCGTATCTCATTATTTTTAGCGACGATTTACGTCAAAATAGTTTTGGAACGGAAATTTGCCAGGTATTTTAGTACAAGCCGATGGAGTGTTTTTGAAATTGACGGACGTGGCTATCACTGCCAGGTTACAAATGTATTTTACACGTGTATTTATTTCGTGCTTCGTGAGTGATGCAACCAGGCAAATGTGAATATACTAAATTGCTGGCGATAGTATAGGTCCTCCTACATCAACTAGTGCTGTTTATTAACGGCCACTTAACAGACAAAATTTTTGTACGAAAAGTTACAGATTAGGTTTGAAATTATTGTGATATCCCAACGAAAACAATTAAATAAATTACTAACCAAATCGAACAATCTTGTGTGTGTGTGCGTGTGTGTGAGTCCTCTCTTCTTTTTTCTACGTGTCAACATCGTGTTCTTCTTTTTTCTTCCTTTTCCATTTCATTCTTTTTCCTTGTCCATATTACAGGGTAGTTGTTAAGTCCTAAAGAGTTAATTGACTCATGATTAGTATGAATATCAAGATTTATCGCAGTCGGGCCAGTAGTTTTTGAACTATCTTTTGCTAAGCAAATCAATCAATCAAGAGGAAAGTGTGATATATGGAGAAAATCCAATATCGCATCATTACAAAGTTCCTTATGAAGTAAGGACAGTCTGTTCAAACCATACTACAATAGAAAGACTAAAATCCGTTTATGGGGACTCTTTTGTGGGTAAAAACCATGGTTTACAATTAGCACAGTCTCCTTAAGCAAGGCAGGGACTCACTTGAAGACGACTAACGGCCAGGACGACCAATCGACGTGACTACTACGGAAATTATTGAAAAAATTGAAAAATTAATATTGGATAATGGCCGATTAAAGAAAAAACAGCTTACAGAAATGATTTGAGTATCCGAAACAATATCTTTAAATTTTTCACGATCGTTTTGGCATAATTAAGATCAGCACAAGATGAGTGCCGATGATGCTGACTCCACCGAAAAAACAGCAGCGTGTGGAGCGTTTTTGGACCGTTCTAGTAAAGACGAGGTTGGTGTTTCGAGTCGAATTGCCACTGGAGATGAAACTTGGATTCATCATTATGAATCTGAGTCAAAGCAGGACTTTATCCAGTGGCATAAAGAAAAGCATACCACCACTCAAGAAGATTAAGGTCGGAAAGATCATAGTGATAGTTTTTTTGAACTCAGTAGGAATCCTATTAATCGATTATAAAGACAATAGCGTTTCCATAATCGCAGAATACTACCCTGCAATATTGGAGCAGTTTAAGGAAGTCATCAAGGAAAATAGACGAAGAAAATTGGAAAAAGATGTTCTTCTGCGCGACAAAAGAAACAATACATTTCCGATTTTCATTTTTTGTTTTAGTAGTAGCAGTTCCTTATTTATTAAAAGAAAATTAAATAATGTGTTTCGATGTGAATGCAAATGACTATGTTCATAAAACTAAGACATCCATGAACCACTTGTTCTGTCTGTACAAAAATTCCCAAGTTATTTTTAAAAAACAGTTTTAATTTTTATGTAGATTTTTGTTGGAAAATCCAATTAAGATTATCGTCTACAATTTACATTACTTTGCATAACAGTCATCTCATTACAAAAATTGGCTTTGCATGTTAAAAATGTAATTATGCTACTTGCGTAAGCAAACGAGGTATTTACTTATCGTAAGTCGTATGTGTAGTATGTGTCTAGTAACACACATGCATAAACAACGCAATGGATGGAAAAATATTCGCTGTAGAAGAAGTGTAAGCCTAATTAATTTCCTACTTGTAGATGCCACCATATTGGGTCCTATAGATTACCATGCCGTTTCTGGTTATATTTAACATGTGAAATGTAAAAGCTTTAAGCGGATTACAAGCATTATAATACGTCAAGGGTTTTAGAATCGTGTCACGACGACAACAACATGAAGATTTAGTCACTTCTGCTTATTGCGAAGAGGTTGTTGGTAGGATTATGTGCGTTGAATGATGATTCTCAAGACCGTTTGACTCACATACGATTATTTTAACAAAATATAGAAATTTATATTTGGTAGATAATCCTTTAACTTCTTCAATCAGGAATAAAGATCCCAAAAGTATGACTTTAAGGAGCAGGATTGATGGTAAAAGGTTATGCTGAAGCGTCTACGAAAGGGAGAGGGAGATTTTGTATTATAAAAACAATTAAGGTTTGTTACGGACCGGTGAAGAGATGTAGAAATGGATTGTCACTGTCTGTACAGGGTAGCCCCTGGTTTTTGAGCTTTGCAATTGGAAATAGGTCGCTGCTCAATGATAGTTGATCAAACCAAAAATAAGAAACTTGGATTAATTTAATCGCGGTAGCACTAAGGAATTTCTAGAAATTTGCTATTAAATCATCATAAAATCGTCAGTCCTATGACTGGTTGGACACGCACGTCCACTCTTTCCTATTCTGCGCTAAACTTCGCATTTCCCTAAAGCTAGATTTTTTTTTATGTTTTCGTGGAAGAGGGGAAATCTTCAAACGACACCCAGCCGTCCGTTCGACTGGGTAGTGTCGGATTCCTAAGGAAGAAGTCCTCGGAAATCCGTCCTCGGATCCAACCCATATCCTTAACTTCCGTTTCTGCCTCTAATATGTCTCTGACTAGACCATCATGCCTGAGAACGTGTCCTACCAATCTATCTCGCCTGTTTCTTATTGACTTCCATAAAGTCCTCTAATATCCTATTCTTTCTAATACCTCTTCATTTCTAACCTTCTCTATCCACGGTATCCTCATCATTCGCCTGTAGCATCGCATTTCGAACGCTTCTAACTTTATCTTTTTCGCCGTGCCCACTGTCCATGTTTCGCACCCGTACAGCACCGTGCTCCAAACATACACCTTTAACAACCTATTTTAGAATTTTTTAATTAACCGTTTGCAATCATAGAAGTGACGATTAATTTAGAAATTAATATGTCGGACGTGAAGGCATTTTCAGGTAATTGCAATGGTACAACGATTAACGTTGCTGTAACCGGAAGGTCGTTACAACCGGAGTCACTGTGAGCGGATCTACTGCAGTTATCGGTTTCAGAAGGATTCTATACATATGATCTAATACACTCTGTATAGTGAGTTATTATAGCCAGATATTCAACAAATTTAATGGTAAATGTTCGGTAATTGCTACACGTTTCCACTAACCAAACATAAGTTTGTATGCCCCATTATTCTAATATGAGCAAATTCTTCCACAAAATAGCCGTTTTGTACTTGTACTTCATTAGTTCAACGTCCGGTAATAATTTTGTTTGAATCACAAAGAGAAGCCGTTGTACTCAACATCAATAATCCTTAGTCGTTGTAAACATAAAATAGGTTAATCGTTCAATATCATACGTTTATGCTTATGTACATAAGTACTTCCAGTTCCATGAAAATAACTAAACTGGGTAAACAGTAGATATAAAGTAAACGATGCATGTCTTAAACACATACTTATCTCTCACGCAATGCGGCAAAATTCATTTGCTTAATTTGTCTCACAGATTTAACAAGTAAACATCAGACTATTTTCATCTACATATATGATAAATGTCGCTACTTTATGTTGTACAAAATAAATTTTTATAATTAAACAATCACAGCAACTAAATATTTATTGTCGACTTTCGGTTTCTACTGGTATTAGACATTTATTCGTCAACTTTACTCATTAACATGCAAGTGAGTGGGAAAGTGTACCTAGCGGCATGGTCTAGAGCAGTGATTCCCAACCGGTGGTTCGCGAACCCCTGGGGGTTCGCAGTGTTTGCAGAAGGGGTTCGCGAAAATAATATTGTAATGGCGGATTTTTAAGACGCCATTAAAATCAAAAGGCAAAAAGAATACAAAACAAAAACACAAAAATTAAAGAGCACACCCACTGTAAAACAGATTGTTCGTTGCCTATTTGTTAAGAAATCTATAATAAATTTCAATATTTTCATTTCTTTTTTCCATATTTGTTTTTGAAAATAACTTCATCAATATTAAATTATATCAACAATTTTATACATTAAAATTTATTCCCCTTATTCCAGTAATCAAATATCTACTATGTAAAACATAAGAACTAGTTTGTTAAATTTATCTTGTTTTCAACTTTTATAGCCATCATTTTAGTCTTATTAATGTTTTATTTAAATGTTTCAC